GAAATTGTAAGTGCTATGTAGTTCATATCTCAACTTAATTGTGCCACACATACAAACTGACAAACTGACAAACAGACAAACAGACAGTCAAAAGTGACAGACAGACATAGATTGAGGCCACAACAAAACAAAGGACATTAAACGATGGCGTGTCAGCTGTTGAAGCAATTCAGGAGACTGCAACGGACACAATACGATGAAGGGTGCGAGGGGGAAGAGAGAGTGTCAGTTGAAACTGAAAGCAATCTAAAAGAGAATGGCATTGTGATGACGCCGCCAGGTGGCGCCAGTCCACCACAAAAGGGTTACCAAAAATTGCTCTAGGTAGCCAAACACAAACCAACGCAACATGTGACTCCAAACAAAAAAACTAAGCCAGTGGCTCTTTTTTTTCAGAGGGAGGGAGGTGCGTTGTCAGTTTTGAAAAGGTTTTGCAACGTTTTGGGTAATTGTTATGTAAATGAGTTTTACAATTTTTTGGCTTAACGCAAAAGGTCGAAGCGAGCGTGCGACAAGGGACACAAAACGCACACAGGACACACGTTGCAAAACCAAAAAAACAAGAAACACCTCAAACACAAAACTGTCAGCCCTCAACTTGAGGCAGTCAGCATATTTTGTGGCTGTCATTGACGGTGATGATGATGATGATGAGGAGGAGCAGCACAAACACTAACACAAACACAAAGGACGCACACACACACACACACACACACACACACACACCGCAAATACCTGAGCTTGTTGCTGTTATTGTTTTTGGCTGGTGTTGCATGCCTCTGCATGGTAATCCTCTGACTGCTTTTTGGGCGCAACTTCTTTATAAAATTGCAAATCAGTTTGAAAGGCAACGACAGGTTGTTTTACTTGCTACCAAAAACATGCGAGATGCCCGGCAAAACACAACACCCACAAGAACACACACACACACACACACACACGCAAACACACACGAGCACAGCACGGACAAGCAGGCAAGTTTCATCCACAGAGAAGACCACAAGCGCCGGAGTTTTGCGTCACGTTCCGTGGTGTAAACATACGAATTTATATGACTGTATTTAGTAATAAAGTTGCCTGTCATTGTTGCTGCTTTTGCTTTTGCTGTTGCTGTTGCTGTTGTTGCAGTGGTTTTCCGCAGTGTGGGCAAAGTTTTTCGCATGTGGCGACACATACGAAAGTTAATAACCGTTTAGCAAGTAAGCAAAAGTTGCGCCCACTCTACATCCCCCCCCCCCCACCCCCCTCCGCGCACACTTTGAAATTTCTTAGCGGGGATTACAGTCAAATTTTACGATTATGTTTTGCTAGCAGTCCGTTTCTTTTGGGGGCAGCAACCAATTTCAGACAAGACTACAACATAGAACATAATGCGCTCTGGGATTATCAAATTGATTTATTTTATGGTCTGCTGCATACTTTTGCGGGCAGCTAAACTTAATTCAAGACACAGATACACACACATATAAACTACTTGCAAATTGCACAGTAATAGTATGTGAACTATGCTTTTAAATTGTCTGTTAAACTTGGTCTCTCAATGTGCTGGTGGGTAAATTCCAAAAATTAATTAAATATCTCTACGAAACTTGCAAAGTGTATTTGAAATTGTTAAATACTTTATATATTTCTGCTCCTTTGACTACATGTTAATAGCATGCACACTTTCTCGTCCACTTACCATAACAAGTTTTCTTTGAAATTGAATAGTTTTGCAAATAACCAAAATACACTTTAAACTGACTTTGGTTTGTTAGCAATTGCTGTGTGGAATAAAAAAACAAAAATTCTTTATAAGGGCCACAATTAATTTAATTGGTGTATATCAAGCAGTATTTTTAATTAATCAACATAATGAAGCGGAGCAAGTGAGAAGCAAACAAAAAAAGTGTGACAGAGACGGAAAGAAGCGCCATATGCAAGCATATACAGTTTCAGGTTCAGGTTGGTAATGACAATAGGTGGAGCAGGCTGTTTGCTTAACTCTTCAGGTTTGCCATCCAATTTTCTAGCAGTTCACTAATTGCAACTCATGCTGCATGCAACTGGCCAAATGTGTGTGTGTGTGGCGCTGGGAGGAGGGGGGAGAAGGAGGAGGACGTAGAAGTTGCAAAATTAGTCAACAACAGTTATGACATTTGTAGTTACGCATACGCAACGTGTTTCTGCAACTTGCAACGATTTGACATTTCAACTGTCTACCGATGTTAGCTGAACCAAGTAGTGCTTAACCTGCTAATGACAGAGAGAGGGTGATAGAGAGAGAGGGGGAAGGGTGTGGGGCATAGCTTATTTCCTTAAGTGCAACATCAGCTTGTGTGTTGTGCTGCCGCTGTTGGCCAAATAAGTGCTAAAGCATGGCAAAAGACAAACATAAACGGAGACATGCATACATACATACATCTATGCACACATCTATGCATACAGAAGCAGCCATTGCTACGAAAGCAGTTACAGTTATGGGGTCACGCACACACACACACACACACATACACACAACACACACACATACAGAAGACAATTGTTAGGCATGCAGATGTGACTGCGACTGGTGGAAGAGGCACTTGAAATTTTAATGCAAGGCACAGCCACTCTCAACGGCATATTTACATTTTAGCTCAATGTCAATTGTGTTTATAAATTAATTTGCAAAACGACATATGTACAACACACACAGCCTACACACACGCACACACACACACACACACACACACAGGCACACACATACAATGAGCACCCCAATGACATTGGCAGCGAGTCCCCGAGCAGTAAAAAAAAGTATAAAGTATATGAAAAGAGTCGGATATTTTTACATTAAGATACCCTGTACTTCGCTCAAATAAATATATGCTTTATCAAGAATAAGCTGCATCAATTTTTTAATATATATCTTATATATATATATATATATATCTATATGTATATATGTAGATATAGGATAAGAAAATTATAGCATTTGTGCTCATAACCTTTAATCAACAACTTGCCTCTAATAAAGCTTCTTTTCTCAAGTGTTGAGCACTCGTATCGATTAGAGATATACCAAAATATTATTGAACTGTGTACATATTATGCGAATATATATTTTTTATGGGGCATTGAGGCTTTGGAGCGAAGTTATTCCAAAACATTATTGTTCGCTGCTTATAGGCATTAATTTTACAGTTTATGAGAATTACGAATATATATATAAATATTTTTTATAGGGATTTTATAGATGTCTCTATATGGCTGTTAGCCACAGCTGCAGGGTATGCAAGCAAAAAACGAAAACAACAAAAAATCGCGAGCTGAACAAGTTTGTCTTTTGTTTAGAGGCTATAAACAGCAGTATGAGAAGAAGCCGGCAACTGCAGATGGGGACTAACAGACACATCTATGGAGTGGCACTGTGTATGTGTATATATGTGTGGGTGTTTTGGTGTGTTGGTGTGCTGGTGTTGTGCGTGTGTTGGACTTCGCCTCTGTTGACCTGACGACGAGCTAATGTCACATTGTGTATACTTTTCAGCTGTGTTGTTTTTTCGATGTTGTGTTGTCGCTGTCGCTGTGACAGGTTGTTGTCGCCGTCTTTGTCTCTGTCTCTGGCTGCTGCAGCGGCCTCGGGAGGCCGCAGTAATAGAAGCAGCAGAAGCAGCAGCTGCCACTCAACTGTCGTTGGTTGACTTTGCTTTAAATGTGTGCGCACAAAAGTCGGCAATGATTTGGTGCAACTAACTTGGCAGCAGCAGGCGCAAGCAGCCACTTGCATTGCAGTTTTATGGCAACACCAACACACACCAACACACACTAATACACACAGCTCAGCAGTTATGCTGCAAAAATGACAAACGGCCAAACTGCCAACTAATTTGAGCCAGTGAAATGAATGACAGCCCGGCACAGTGGCACCCAATTAAAGTACGCAAGAAAAAACCGTTGGCAGATTCCATCTTTAACTTTGTTGCTCTTCAATTTTCATGCTTGACCTAGCGAAATGCCAAAGTAAACTTGATTAGTTATGCCTCCGGCTGCAAATAGATGCCACAGTAGTCTAAGTGTAGCAATGGACTGCAACTTGTTCAACTTTAAACAGTATTTTATCATCTCTTACCATCTTTTAAATTCAAAAGCTTATTAAACTTTTGTAAATATAAAAGTAACTATAGAAGTTGACGAGTTTCGCCGTTTTACCCTTTGTTGGCAACCCGAATAGGATTATCTGCATAATTGCAGTCTGTAATCTGGTAATTACATTATATAATGCCGTAATGCAATCCCTTCGCCACTTACAAAAGATCAATTTGAACTTAAGCTTCTTAATTGAGAAGCTTGGTAAAGTTTTGGAAACGAAACAATCTTATAATGTAATCATTTTTAAACTGTTTAGAATTACAAGCGTAAATGGTTGCACTTCTATAAGTATATTATCTATTAGAGGATGAATGCAGTATTACATTTGAAATATTAAGACAGACATTTTCCAAAGTTCACTAATTCACATTACTATGTAATCAATTTTTTCAATAAAAAATTTATATTCAAAGTCAAACTTTATTAAATTAATTATAGCTCATGGTTAGCATTGAAAGCTTATTTTTAATTTCTACAACTCCGATCAGCGACTTGGATTATATAATAGAGCCACTAAAAAAAATGTTACCAGCTTATACAAGCATCTATTTTGCACCACTGTGCAATGTTGGCGGAAGTGCGTTCCATGCCTTTTGTCGCCTTCTTTGCATTTGGCAATGCAAGTGAGCAAAAGCCAGGCAAAGCCCACCACACCCCCAATACCAACCAACCCATCGTCATTCAATGCGTGTGCTGCTAAACAGCTGCAGTCTTTCGGGCGTTGCGCTTCGGCTGTCGGCACACGAATCGTCGTGTGCCGCTGCTGCTGTTAGCGTTCGGTTCAAGTTCGGCTGGCAGCCATTGGGCCAAAGCGTAAGCGCTTAAAGCAGCAGCAGTCGCCGACGCGTTCAGTTCTGTTTTTCTGCTATTCCGCTTTCAGTTTCAGTTTCAGTTGTGCATTGTTTGGCGCCGACGACACTACACACAACGCGGTACGCAGCGCTGTACGCAAGCCAACGACGTATCGGGAACGTAACGTAACAGCAACGTAACGGCACGCGAAACGTAACGGAAACGCAGCGTGTCGTGAAATTCGTGGCCGCATTTTGTGAGTTATTAAAATGCGATAAAAGCCAGTGAATCGGTAATAAAGCGCTTATCTTTGCTCGCAATTACGGCGAGGAATGCGAAAAGCCGGCGGTAGCAGGGTGCTGGGCTGTGTTTTCTTTTTTGATTTTGGGGGCGCGAGCGAGTGACAAAGCGACTGCCAGCAGGCCTTCTACAATCAGTATATATATACTATATATATATTTGTATATAGATGTGCACATATCTGAGTAATATCACAGCATTTTGCTGTGCGTGGCGCCCAATTACCACAGGCACTGAACTCCCTCCCCCCCCTCGCCGCAAGCCCCCATTGTTCCCCTTGCCCCAATGCCCGATGATGGCGGAGTGTGGAGTCAATTGTGTGGCTGGGCACCCGCATCTGTTACAAATGACAAGGAAGCTCAGTTGTTGCCTGCTGTTATTTTTCTTTTTTTTTTTGGTGTTTTTTTCCGACTGTTGCTCTGCTTCTTCTTTTTGCTGATATTTACGATCCCGTCTGGACTCAGTCGGTGTCTCCGTCTCAGACTCCGGCTCAGTTTCAGTTTCAGTTTCATTTACGGTTTTTTGGTCAGCCCACAAAATGTTTGCTGTCATTTGTGTCTCGCTCCATTTTAGTTAATAGTTGGCTACGTGTGTGGCATATTACACACATTAGTGTGACACACACCCACACACACACACACACACATACACACATGCACACATACAGAGACGGGTGCACACCTTGTTGACAACGTGCCGGCCTGTTTGTTTTTCTTCGCCTTCTTGACTTGGCTTCCGCTTCGTGTATCTCTAAAAACATTCAAAGTATCTTTCGGATGTTCCACTTGCCGTGTGTGCCTCTGTGCCTCTGGGTGTGTGCGTGTGTGTGTGTGCGTTTATGTACGTGCTACTTTTGGGTGTTTATGACATTTAAATCAATATTGTAACACGTCGTCAGCCAACCCACTCACCCCTAAAAATCAACTGCCTATAGGCTGCAATTTGCGCAGATTTCTTGCTTGCTTTTCAAGTGTCGCGAGCACTCTCTCTCTCGGTGCAATCATAGAAAAGCAAAACCGTGCAACACCCCCAATCCCCGATCCCCAAAGCCCGACCACCACAACGCCCACTCCCCCCGCGTTTGGCCTGAATTATGGCTTAATGAGCACAATTTTCAATTGCAGCTTCACTCGCCACAGACGACACCCAAACCGCCCAACGCACTTATTTAGTGTACAGCACAGCCCTGCCCACTTACCCACCCAAACAAAACCTGGCCAGCAACTTTTGGCTTGCATTGCATAGACAAACAAATCAAATGGGGGTTAGCAAGGCTGAGCTTAGACTTTTAGCTGCTTGCTCGCCTTTGTTTATTGCTGTGCAGGAAGCTGCGATAAGGTCATGCGCTGACCTAATCCTTTCTTTCTCCTTTCTCATACCCCCAACCTCCACCGCCCCAACCTCCTGTCAGCTGCAACTGCATAAATTATGTTTTTTTTTTGTTTGTAGACATTTTGCTTGAAAGTCACATAAGTTGCAAGGCGCAGGCTGGAGCAACTACGCACTTCACCTGATCACCACAACCTTGGTCATTTGCAGCGTCTGCTTTTCACGCTCACTTGACTGCCTCAGTGTGCGAATGCACCATGAGGAACCATGAGGAAAACAGACACCCACACACACACACTTTTGTTGCCAGTAAAGTCATTTATGAAAAGTTCTCAAGATAAACAGATTAAAAATTCAACGAACTGCAATGTTGCCTAGCAGAAACTAGCTGAAAATAAACTGAATCGATTAAGATAACAGAAAATTTCCTTCACAAAAAAGAGTTGATGGTATAAATTATGAGTTTATTATCCGGTATCATATCTTTTAAACTTTCGTTGTCACATGCCAAAATGTCTAAGACATATTTGTCAACTGAGTTGTAGTTTGTTGTTTTAAATGTCATAATAACTATGCATTTTTGCTTCGGCGCCATGTGGCGCCACATTGCAAAAGTTGCGGCATTTTAATTTGTTAAGTGTGCCACGTTCGTGTCCAATTGGGCCACTGGGCAAGTCCAGCAGGTAGCTTCAAGTTAAGCTCCAAAGCTGCCGCAATTCTATTTACATTTGTGCATTTGTTGTCTCTTGCTGCTGTTGCAAGAGCAGGCGGCAACGGGGCACCGCAAGCAATCAAAAGTAGGCAAACTATTTACAAAATTGTTGCCATATTCTCGTTCGCTCTCCCTACGTATCTCTCTCTCTCTCTCTCTCTCTCTCTCTCTGTCTCTTTCTACTTTTCTCTCTCTCTCTCCAGCTATCTCTTTCTCTCTCTAGTTCCATTCCATTCCATTCACTTTTTACAATTTGTTGTACTTTGGCGAATTACAGTTTACAGTTTACAGTTTACAGTTTACAGTTTGCAGTTAACAACATACAACTTTTTTTTGCCAACTTTAAGTGTTGGCCATTAGCAGCCGTACATCACATCCACATTCTGGACACGCCAATGAATTTCTTAATTAAGCTTAATGTGCAATTTTCGGACTCAAAACTGAAGGAATGCCAGCTCTCAACTTTCAGCATCCGCCCAGAAAAGTGGCCAAGTGGACACGTTGTTCATTTCATTTGAATTTTCTCGGTTAAGCCAAGTTAACTTAAATTAAAAAAACACAAACAGCTGTCTGAAATTACGTTAAATGACACTCCACAACATTCACATGCGCTCTCCTCTCTCCCTCTCCCTCCCCCTCTCTTCACACTCTCTCTCTCTCTCCTTTTCTCTCTTTCTTGCTTGCTCTCGCTGTCTGGTTTTTGTACTTTCGAATACGGCCCAAGTAGCTGGTAGCAAAAGGAAAACCTATCTACGCATATATATGTGCACAATATTCTCGTATCTTTGGCTCATAAATTTTAACCATTTTCCAGTTTCCAGTTTGCTTGGGCAGCCCGTCCCAAAAAGTCTCGTAATGAAAAAAGTTTCAAGGTAGCCAGTTAATTACACATTTAGTAGGCCTTTGTACCTACGAGGCTGCAGTTCATTAGTATTACAGCTTATTGTTATCGAAATGGATTTGTCAAATTTCAAACTAGGTTATTCATGTTCATTTTAAATTATCGACAAATGTAATTGAAATTATGGATTGGATTTGATTTTTAGTCTTCCTTTGTTATCGAAATCGATTATTCACTTTTCGAAGAACTGTCTCAAAAAAATCTGATTCATAGTATCGATAGTACGTCTATACAGCTTTTATTTTATTTGATTTGGTCTTACAGCCTATGTTTATATTATCGATTAGGAACTTTCCATATGCCAAATTGAATTTCTGATTTGAAGCTTTAATCGAGTGTGATTTCAGACCTATCGATTTTTATTGAAAATCAAATCAGTTTGGAGTGAGTTTATTTTATTATTAAATCTCAATTCTATGTTAAGCTCAATGCTTTTAATAGTTGTTATATTGAAATAAAAACAAATCATGTCCTTTACTCAAATTCTTGAGGCTCACATTAACAAAGGTTACCGATTACCAATTCCGATCAGGGTTGCCATTGATTACATAATAATCGACTGTTGTTGTTGACACTGAACACCCAACACTCACACACACACACATCACACATACACACACACACAATCACCTCTTACGCACTTAAGAAGTCCCAATTACAATACGCTCAGCGCATTAGCAGTCTGATCTGCTCTTTGGAGCAGCTACCGTTAGTTTTGGGTCTGTATATATGTATATGTATATGTATATATTGGGGTCCCAAACACATTTGAACTCTTAGCACTTCACTAATCTGTCCATTGTGAGGCATTCCGTTCCAAGTGGGGCGAAATGCTCGCTTCATAACTGTTTTTCTTGTGTGGTTGTGTTAGTGCTGTGAGTGTTGGGTGTGTTGAGTGTGTGTGAGTGTGGGCTGAGTGTGTGTGAGTGTGGGCTGAGTGTGTGCGTTGAGTGTGCCAAGTGAATTTACGACCAGTGGACAGACAACTTTTGGTCACTCATGGTCACTTGGCAATGTTCATGGTCACTTGGCATTGGGCAACTTGGTATCTTGGCAACTTGGGCGACCGGCTGCGGACGGGTTCATGAACTTCAGTGCACAGGTTAGCGCCAGTTAGCCTGAATCCGAATACACACCCAACGTATTACACACCAGAGAGCATCCTTCACGATTACTTAATATTAATGACTCCTGGCTTGAACTACCAGCTAACAGCTCCCAGCTACCAGTGGCCACTGGCCAGCGACCAGCTTCAGCTTCATCTACAGCTCCATCTAGGGCTTCGGCATCGGGTTCATCTGCTGCTCCTGCTGCTGCTGCTTCTGCTGCTGCTGCTTCAGTTTTATGTCGCAAATCTGTCGTCGTCGATGGAAAAAAGTTTTTGCGCTTGCCTCACTGTTGTTGTCTATGTAATGAATGCCTTTTGTGTGAGCCTTTTGACTTGCTTTACTTCTGGGAGCAGGGTGCCAGAGAGAAAGAGAGAGAGAGAGAGAGAGAGTGAGAGAGAGGGAGATGGAGAGGTGGACGCGGAGGGGGAGGCGTAGAGAGCTGTGGAAACGGGCTTGGAGGCCAGCATTTTATCTCTTTGCATTGTGTGTTGAATGGCCTCAACAGGGCAGCTGGAAATATTTGCTTAAGCAGATTTAACAACATTAACTTAATTAAATAGGCACTAAGCACAAGAAAGACAGAGACAAACGCTAAGACAGTGAGTAGGTGAAGGGAAGGGGGTATGTGTGTGTGTGTGTGTGCGTATGACTTTGTAAGCAGACATGGCGTATGCGTGATATTGATTGATTTCAAATTACATAGAATAAATGCCGTTGCCAGTCGCAACTTGTACTCGTTCATCTTACTGTTGTTGCTGCTGCTGTTGTTATTTGTAGCTGCTGTTGTTGTTATTTGTTGCTGTTATTCTTGTTGTTATTGTTATGGTTATTGCCTGAAGCTGCACAAAAGAGTTCAATTGATGTTTGCAAGTGGGTGGTCCATTGAATGAATCCGTGTGGATTCGTACACTATAAAACACCTCCTTCTCCTCCCTCCCTCT